ACATGAAGCATGCAATTTTATGAAGGAAGTCGGCCGTAATATACCTCGGGGGACTAGCTACCAGCTTTCTAACGCAGGTTTCGATCCCAGGTCAGGGCACGTGGGAATTGTGGTGGAGAAAGTGGCACTAGGATGAGTTTTCACCGTGTATTTCGATGTCCCCCGCCAATTTCATTCCACCAGCTGCTCCGCAGTCATTAATCATCCTATCATTGACGCTATACGGTGTCAATACTGACAGTGTCCTTAAATAAAAAATTAAACGAGAAAAAGGAAGTCAGACTTGTGGTGTCACTCTTTTGTGTGTGTCCAGTATAATAAGTTCTGACTCACTTGACAGACTCTCTTGGCAATTTGTACGAAGAAGACTATTTTGAGCTTTCCACTTTTGTAATATCATTTCCTTATCAACGTCGAAACAAAGCTACTATTTGGACTTCTGAGTTGGGAATTATGATAGATGGCAGTGTATTGTGCGGGCATAAAACACTGTGTGGTCATAAGGCATTTTAAAATATGCTACTTCTAAAGTAAATTATTACAGGAAGAAAAGAAGCAGCGTGTCAAGGGCATGAAAATGATACTTCCCTTATTATGACAATAACAAACTAATTTTGGCCGAGTAAGATAGAGCTATCACTTAACAGGTCGTGGATGCCCATACGATTGTGAGACGTCGAGGTTCCCACATTTACTAAACAATCGGCTCACAGATGGCAATGGGGTTGTCAGCTTCAAGCGCCGGTCGTCCTTCTATTCTCAAAAGGAAGTGAAGCCTTTACAAATATTAATGCAAATTTCTATCCATGGTTTCAAAATTAATTCTTTTGCATAGCTCATTAGTTCAATCCTGAGTTCTTACAGATATAAAATTATTGTTGCTAATGCAACTACATTCTGAATAAAATATTGCATAATGTAAACAAACGTAGTCCCTTTCATTTCGTTAAATTTAGACCATATAAAAATATTTCGAATAACTGTTGTTCTTGATGGTATCTCTAGGTTATGTCGTATTACCTAAATAGTTTTGCACAGTGATAGGTTTCGAGACTAATGATGAAATGTTATTTGAATTCTTTGAGGAGTTGCGGTTATGCCAGGCCGATAATTAAATTAGCCTGACACCATTTGTTAAAACAAGCAAGTGCACATAGGGATAGAATTGATCACCAGTCATGTGACCATCTGACCACTTTACGTAATGAACGCATCAAAATTTAGTCTACGAAAATTCTTTCTTCTTGTCACTTGTCTTAGACCCTCTCATTAACTTAAGACGTACTGGCCGCGCCATAGCTCAAGCGGTTAGTCGCTGGCTTCCCACCGCGGCGGCCCGGGTTCGATCCCGGGTCTGGTCAAGTGGCATTTGTAGTGGACAAAGTGGCGCTGGGGTGGGTTTTCTCCGAGTACTTCGGTTTCCCTTGCCAATCTTAAGCCCATCAAATTCTCCATCATCACAATCACTCGGGGCAGGCTGCAATAGGCTAATCAGTGGCCGCCGTGCCGAGTGGACACGGTTGGAATCCACCCCACCCCCTAAGCAAAATAAAAAAAAAGACTTAAGACTACATAGCTTGGAATGGTAGGCTGATACATGAAAGATGAATTCGAAATGATTTGGGTATGATCGTGGCCCAATCGAGATACTATTCCGGTATTTGCCTGGACGCACTCAGGAAGACCATGAAAACCTCAGTCAAGTTAGCCAGTGTCCGGATGGAGATTTGATAGGAGGAGCTCCCGAATATGATTCTAGAACATTACCGCAGCGCCAGCCCCTGCGGTCGCAGGTTTCTTCCTCCGAAACAAAATGAGAAAGTGACAAGTTCTCGGGAGAGAACAAAATATTTACCAACCATTATTCACAGAGGTACGGGCGCATGCCTGATCCGGAGAAAATGAATCCCAAGAGTAACTGCAAAGTTTTTCTTGTGATTAATTAATCAAGCACCATCCCATGTATAAATATCGGGAAAGGAGGTATAGCTGCTTGCATTCTTAAACTCGAACCCAGATGAAAGTGAATGGTAAGATTCAAGTACCGGACTCTTCTCCTCGGGAAGACCCCAGCACCTACTGGACAGTAAGCTAGGTGGACCCCACAGCTGAACTGGGCACTACGGAGAAGAGAAAACTCCACTGTCCCTGTCTGGAATCGAACCGTGGTTTCTCTGCCGCTTAACCCGTAGCCCCTCGCTATACCTACTGAGGTATCGCAACTCTGAGAACCTTTCTCACCTTACCGCAATTCGCTTAGTGGGGGGTGGAGTCCAACTGGGTCCACTCGGCACGGCGCCACTGATTGGCCTATTGTAGCCTGCCCCGGGTGATTATGAAGATGGAGAATTTGGTGGAATGAAGACTGGCAGGGGAAACCGAAGTACTCGGAGAAAACCCGTCCCAGCGCCACTTTGTCCACCACAAATCCCATTTGACCAGACCCAGGACCGAACCCTGGCCGCCGCGGTGGGAAGCCAGCGACTAACCGCTTGAGCTATGGCGCGGCCCTAACACACATCTTAGTTATTAGATTCACAGCCAAGGGGCGTTACAGGGATAGTACACAGGTGCAAGCGAACAACACTAGGAGGACTTGGAGCAATGACTGATTGCCTAAGTGGATTCTACGACGCTCTTGAATAACTATCAGTCTTCTATCACTACAACCAATCTGAAAAGGCCTGACTAGGGCCCAAGAGAATATTGGAAAGGGGCGGAGACTCCTCTCTCGAGTTTACTAAGTATATACAGGAACAGAAGCTGTAGGATTCGTCTTTTTATTCTGAAAGGAAAGGAAAATCCCGTAACATTGACTGCGAAATCTAAGGCACGTACGTTCTTAGACCGCTCGAAAAATAAAGTTGTACGTTCAAATGCTGCTTGGGGCTAGATGTTTGTCCGCGTTATTCTGTGATGATATAGAGATCTCACAATACTCCCTGGCCTGGGCCAAGTAGGCCTGTTACGTGTCTCAGTCGAAGGCCCTGTAGCTGAATCGGAACAGGCCACATGACCTAATCTATGATAGAAGGAACAATGTAGGAAAAAAATAATGAAAATATATCTATTCATTGCTGCGTAAGCCCTAGAATATTCGCAGAGACGTGAAACTACGGAGGGGAAGATACATTTCAGAACCGTGTACCAATCTTAATCAACGGCCCGGGTTCGATCCCGGGTCTGGTCAAGTGGGATTTGTGGTGGACAAAGTGGCGCTGGGGTGGGTTTTCTCCGAGTACTTCGGTTCCCCTGCCAATCTTCATTCCACCAAATTCTCCATCATCATAATCACCCGGGGTAGGCTACAATAGGCCAATCAGTGGCCGCCGTGCCGAGTGGACCCAGTTGGACTCCACCCCACGCTAAGCGAATAAAAAAAAACTTAATCAAAGCTGCCCTTGAACCGAGCCAGAAAGAATACATTCCATGATGTATGTCCTACTGCGAGAGTGACTGCACGCGGTCACTCTGTTCATTATTTTGACGACATAATAAAACCTCAGTCTGTTTGATTGTTAATTGATATTTGCAAGTAACTAAGGTCCGTTTTCGAATGCTGGAACATACACTAAGATAAATTCGGTTTCCCATTGCAGGCAACTAAAATAATAGTTAGGAATGCTCTTAAGACAACATAAAGAGAAGATATAGAAGGGCGTTCTGTATTTTCTGAGTTACAAGTATTTATCTTAAAGTATGTGATGATTTTATGGTTAGAACTAGTTCTTTATATAAGATTTGAGGCTTTCACGGCGGTGACTATGAAGAAAGCAGTCTTCTGGGATTTGGCACCGTGTATATGTGGTGTTAACCGACGTTCCTGAGGAAATCCCAGAAGACTGCTTTCTTCATAGTTCTTTATAATTTTACGGTGCCGAGTTCGATTCTCAACTCAAAGAACGGCTATAACTGATTTTCCTTGTGGTATTATTTAGACTATCCAGATAAATTCTGGAATAATACCTCGACGTAGGCTTCCATTTTCACCATTTGAAATTCACCAATCTGAGTCACACGCCAAATCTAAACAAGTATGCAAATTAGGAAACGTAATTGAACGTCATAATAAAATATAAATAAAACTGTTTCTTTGTTCATTCGGCAACTTAAGACTTATTATTTCTCTCTAGCTCTTTCACAGATTTCTTTGATGTGCTAAGTTTTTCAAAACCGTATTCCAGAATGGTTTACTCTGAAACGTCCCGTCTGCATGGAAAATGAGGTGATGATTCTTATAATCGGCAAGGAAATATACAAATATTTATGTAGTATATGCGATTAGGGCCGGTCACGGTAGCCGAGCGGTCTAAGGCGTGCACTGTCTTCACTCGCTCGGAAGCCGGGATCGTGGATTCGAATCCCACTCAGGGCATGGATGTTTATGTGCGTTTTTCTGTGTTTGTCTACAGGTAGAGGCCTTGCGACGAGCTGATCACCCGCCCAAGGAGTCCTACCGTATGTCTAAGATCTAGAAAAACCGAAGTGAACGGAGAAGTTCATGGAGGTAGGCCTAGGCCCACTGGGGCTGTAGTGCCAAGGGGGGAAAAATGAGATTAGTAGCAACGGCTTAGAGAAGAACACTTTAAAAGTTATGCAAACCACGCTCTATATAACTGTAACTTCTACGGAAAGAGAAGGCCCTTAACCACTGCGGCAATTTGTACACGATTTATATGAAGTTAATAGAAACACATGTCGAATAGATATCGACAAAATTATTGGCTATAAGCCGGAAACATAATGAGAAAACTGTCCATTTGATATATTTTTTCAAAAGAACGAAATTCCATCAAGAAATTTGTGTAGTAATGAAGAACATCATATAATGCATATGTTTAGCGAAATTATAACAGTGACTTCATGACTGGATGTGATAAGTAGTATTTAGAATATCTTCGGTACAACTGCTTACTCATTTTGAACAACTTTTCCATTTGACTTGCCTGTATTTACAGCCGTATACCGAGTTACTGTAGAAACGTGGAGGAACTACTCACCTGATACAGAACGAACCACCGGGACTGCCACTTGGTGCTGTCAGCAGTTCGCTTGTGTAGGTACCCGGCCAGCGAGTGGTCGTAGTGGGCCCTCTCGGAGAGGTTCAGCAACTGATTCTCATTAACGCGAATAGTTCGCTGCATTTTCGGGCTCAACATTTCGACAACTTCAAAAATATTTCACCCATAATTATACAACATCTGTTGTCCTAATCTATAATTAAATAACTTTTTAAAAAGTTCATATTTAGTCTCAGTTCAAGCTGGAATAAATCGCTTAAATTTATTTTCTTCACAAGACTTTCAAGGAATGTCCTTTGCGAAATACTTTTAGGTATATATATTGCACTGACGAAGATCTGTTTCCGGAAGTAATATTAATTCTTGGAGTTATGACATGATTAGTTCCCGTCTCACAAATATTTCAATAACTTATTTAAAACTGCAGGTGAAATAAAATCTAATATTAAAGAAATGTAGCTACTGGGATAAGCAGTAACTTCACAGTATTCCAAAACACAATTTCCGTGCGATTTGTCGGATACCCCACTTGGTGTATTTTCAGGTAACTATGAACTCCTTGGTGATAAAGTTGAAGTTAGTATTTTTATTTTGTAATTGGAATTATTATAAAATGTTAAAGAGGATATGATGATTATCTGAAAATACGGAGAAAAAAAACTTCGAATTATTGTGCCGATTGATCAGACAGACTGAGACTAGCCTGTACTTGCTGATCATAGAGATTCAAAATTGGAACATTCATGATAGAAGGTGAGGAAGCAGACAACATGAAGTCATCTAAAAGATGCAGATCATTTTCATCAATAGCATGTGATACGAGAACAAGAAGAGAAAGCGGAAATAACAAGAGTAAGCAGAAGAAAAGAAGTAACAACCCTATCCAACAAAGGAAGCAGCAGCAACAACAACAATAACAATCACAGTAACTGACAACCCATGACATATGAGGTGAACATGTATTGTAACTACCAAGAATTGATGACATTAGAGTGGGTCACGTCAAACTGTTAACAAATTCAGAAACAGTTGACGGTGGATGTACGTTTCCACATGTTAACGAGAAAATGCGCTTCATATCGGATTCTATATAAAACTAGTACAAAGATAATCCATGCTGAACGAGACAGATTTCTGGAAAATATTATGAGGCAAAAAATAATTATATCTCAGCGTAATAAAGAATTAGAATGGGAAAAGAGAGACCTTAAACTTGTATATAATAAACTGAGGGACAGATAATGATGAATATATTGTGAACGGTTTAAGTATACCTCATTAATGTCAAAGATATATTATGCAAGCAGTTGCAGTTGTATGTAATTACTGCTAAACATACAGAACTTCACTGAGCCTAATACACCACTTGTAAACCAACTACTTCCCGATTTCAACAATACCGAAGAAAATTCTACGAACTGACAGTAGCAGCAACAGGTTGCCAGTCAAATGTTACTTGGAACTTCAAAGTAGAAATGAAAAGAAGATAAAACGTCAAAACCACTGAGTGCATAAATCTTATTAATAACAAAATGTGTTTCTTTCAGTTACTTCAAAATATTCCGCATGTTGCACCTCGCAACCTTCACCAAGTTCAAACAAGTTAACAAGCATCATAATATAATTCACTCTTGATTCCAGTTGAACAACATATATAACACTACTGACACAAATGTTATTTATATCTTGAGTGTGTTGACAGAAATCGAGTGACCTCCAACCGACCAACCAACCCCCTTTTTACAGGTATACTCGTCCACGCGGGGCGAAATGAACGTCACAACGGCGACCACCCTTGTAGACGGAGGGTAATGTGCTGGCTAAAACAGAATCCAAAGCGTCGCGCGCTGCTGCGACGCTCGCTGATTACGTCGTACGTCATTACCCTCTACTCCACCTCTGATTGGTTAGAGTAAACCCCGCGAAGAAGGGCACAGGGAGGTGAAAACTTTGTACTGCGACGACGCACTGAATTAAGATAGCCTAAATATATTTACGTATGAAATGGAATACATGTGTAATTCTTAGCGGGAACTAGATAAGATTATCTGTTTATCGTATTAGTGAGAGCGTATGCTTCCAGTTGCCTCAATGGTAAAATAATCAACGAAAAATGTACTGATTAACAACAGACCCTTATCGCGGAGATAGATACACGAACGTTTTAAGTTGGTAATTTTACATCACACTTCAAAGACCCGTGTATTGGTTTTGCTTCATTCTTAGAGTCTTCTTTGACCAATTACTTACTTATTTTATCGGCCGCGCTCAAGCGGTTAGTCGCTGGCTTCGCATCGCGGCGGCCCGGGTTCGATCCCGGGTCTGGTGAAATGGGATTTGTGGTGAACAAAGTGGCGCTGGGGCAGGTTTTCACCGAGTACTTCGGTTTCCCCTGCCAATCTTCCTTCCATCAATTGTTCCACAATCACCCTCACCTATCATCTGGGGCTGGTACAATAGGCCAGAATTTGCCGCAGTAGAAGGGACTTGGTCCCACCCCACTAGCAATAAAAAAGAAATACTTATTTTATGGTTCATTTAACGGTGGTTTCGAATACACAGTATCAAATGGTAAAATGATTACTGAATGATGAACTTGAAAGAATGTGGAAGGAAGCCGTAGTGGCCTATTTTAAGATACTATTCCGGCAGTCGCCCGGAGGAACTGAAGAAAATCACCAATAAGAACAATCGGTATCCAGGGTGAGATTCGAACCAGACATTTTCGGAATAGAAGTCAGCAGCGTTACTTCCTGAATCAAATTGTTCGTTGATCCAACCACAACTGAGGGGACTTGGCATGCGTTTCGAATGTAGATGGGTTCCAGGGATTCTTTAAGAGCAGACGAGTGTATTCCAGTCAGGTGACAGGTCTACATGTTTCCTGCTTAACCATACCCTGACCGATACACTCACTTGCTGCAGATAAGAACATTTGATTGCAAACCTGGACCTAACAGCACAGACATGACAAATCATTGGTACATGAAATATTTCACTTGTGTTTCATTGAATTTTATGCTACAAATCTAATAAAATTTCATATGGAAGTTATATAATTTTAAATGTTAGTATTATCAATCCTGCCGATCACGGTGTCCACGCGGTCTAAGGCATGAACTGTCTTCGCCCGTTCGAACATGGGATAGTAGATTCGTATCCCACTCGAGGCACTGATGTCTACGTGCGTTTAATCTGTGTTTGTGTTGTTCTGTGTGTAGATAGCGGCCTTGTGACGGGCTGATCCCCCGTCCTGCCGACTGTGTATACAGTAAGAAACTGAAAAAAAAAAAAACACCAAGGTCCACTACGGATTAAGCTTTTGATCTGTTAGGTAAAAGATAAAAGTTGTCCATGTGCTTAACTTAATTAAGCATTATGGCATGAAAGCGTACGGGGGAGTGGATGTATATATCCATATTTTTTTGACATCGGCATTAGAGGTGAGTGGTCGGTTTCAAGCCCCTGCTGCTTTACTCCCGGTACTCATTGTATAGGAGGCTGGGTGGGCCCCAGAGCCGGTCTGGACGACGTGGAGAAAATTCTTGACCCTAACGGGACTAGAACCCCTACCCCTCGGTCGTCCAGCCCGAAGTCAGTCGTTATACCAACTGAGCTATCCAGGCTCACGCTTTTGGTCTGTTATGAGCATTAAAACTGTTGTATCGGTAACTTTTCGTATCACTTTTATTGCACGCTTCGATAATTGAGACTATAAGCTCCGAATGACTGGAATATAGTGAATAATAATAAGCTAGGAAGGAACCGGTCGTAGTCTAATTTCAAGATACTGTCACGGCACTCGCCTGGAAGGGGGGGTTGAGGAAAACAACGAAAGCCTCAGTCAGGATATCGGTGTCGGGATTCGAACCAAACACCTCCATGTATAAGCCAGAAGAGTTACCGCTTGAGACAACTCGTTCGGGTTCCTTTGCGTAAATGGATTTTCATCTGCAAACCTGGAGCACCAACACTTATTTGTCACAAATATTTCCACCCCGTGGACAAGCAGTCTTCGCCGTGACTGCTGGATCCTGTCTTATACCGTAGCTGAATATATGTTGTAGCGGGTAGACCCGTTACTGGGTAACGACCTCGAAAAAAAACAACGAAATAACATCCCCTGTTAGGCAACAGATTCGTAATAAGTAAGTATACACACCCGTTACCGAGTAACCCCTTCGCAAACAACCCACGGAAGATAATGGAGGAGCAATAGAAGAGCTGTGTTTTCTATTGGTCCGTGCCGAGGGGTTATAAGGAGGACAATTAGAGCAAGAATTCAGGAAGTTGTGGAATATTCGCCGGACGGTAATAAAGTGAGCGCGGAAGCTGAAGAATCTCCACTGTAGAAGCCGTTACCAGGGAACGACTGGTGAAGACAGCAAAGTACAATGACTTAGCGTGTACTGTAAAGTGTGGAAATTAGCAATAGTGTTATAGTTATTCCCAGTTACGACATGTAAATGGTCAATAAATCCAATATTTAATCCAAATCCCGTGTATAGTCACTGAAAACACGTGAAACACTACGTCCCATTTGCTTTGTGGGATGATCCATTGTGATAGAACAGAAATACGGTTGAAGAACAAGTACGTATATTATTCTCTCTACTAGGTCGATACAGACCAAAATCATATTCACAGAAGAATGAAGAATACTATCTTCTCAGGCGTGACGCCGTTTAGTGTGGTGGAGATTTATCGAAATTTCGGAGGCAAGTACTATTTCTAACTTCACGACCGAATAATAAGAAAGCAGGCAACTAGTATCAGATCCGGAAAATGAAGACAATACAAATACATTCCTCCGAAATTTCTATGAATTTCTACCGAACTACACAGCCTGACTTGCCAGAAGACAGCGATATTTCTAGTCACGGGAGTAAGAACCCCAAATTCAACTCACCGATGTGAAGATATCTTCTCAGCAAGAAGTACCGTCGAAATCCGTCCACTAGTTTCCGAGACAGAACTGAAGAGAACAGCCACGACGTGGACAGAATACGCTATTTTTATGTACTCGTACGGCGAAAGCCTGAAACCATTAAAACATAATAAAGCGCTTAATATGATCTACTTTTCTGTGATTGCAATTTAATTTAAAGTTAGTTTTCAACTGGACAAAAACAAAAGCAGAGCTAGCAAAGAACCTACTCGTTAGTGACAAAATTAACAACGTCTGGAATAATGCTGTGCGACCGTAATACCTAATTTCACACTTAATAATCATCAATCAATACAAAAACGTTGAACGTCAGCGATTGCTTCTCACAATGACTGTCAAGTTTAATGTGCAGGAATAATGACTGTAAAAGTATAAAGAACACGCAACACATTCACTGCTGGTAGCAAATCCAAGGACGCAGAACGGGTCCGAACGGTGTTCAAAGCGAACATTTTTATTATTTCCCTTCCCCCCCCCCCCCCCACCAAAAAATTTCCCTCCCAAATGAAAACACGTATCCCCACAAAAACAACCACTTTTTCAACNCACAGCAAAAAATTGTCCTCCTGAAGTCAAAATCGTATCCCTGAAAAAAGATATCCTTTCTCAACACACTTTTTCCCACCTGTGACTATATATGGGATGTGGCTCTCAAAAGGACCATTTTCTTACCCGTCTTTCCCAGTGGCCCTAATGGAGTTCCTTTCCTTATAAATAGAAACCACTCGGTCCAATGTGACATATAAGTTTTTACTACGTTAAAACTTATCTCCCTTACATGTTTCGGTCCTTACGGACCATTTTCAGAGGGAACATCAATACAAATTTATAATTGTTAGTGTGACGGACCAGAATGAAACAAATCAAATCCTTTCCTTACCTTTCCCTCCCTTGGTTCTTATGACCACCTGCCTACTTAACTGAGCCAATTCCCAAATCTACACAATTCAAGCCTGAAGATACAGACAGCATGTTCCTCCGAAACGTCGGTATCCATTTAAGAGACCACACGGTATCACAACCCAGGAAATTTCAATATGAGCACTCACCGCCGTGAAACTTAAAAAATTTACATCTGTACAATTTATTATCTATATCTCTTCTTTGCAAACTTAGTTCCCAGGTCTGAGCACTGTAACGGCAATGTTCGAGCCTAATTGCACATACAATATAGAAAATCGCCAAAAGAGTGAGAAAAGCAAATCATTAAGAACTGAGGGACTATTCTGACGAAAGACTTGAGTGTCATCAAAGTCTGTCAAATGCCTCTAAAAAACGCATAAGTTTGTTCAAGCTCATAATTAAAATGACAAACGAGTTTCAAGCAATTAAATTTCACATGTTGAACATTCTTACATATAATTAAATCATAATACCTAATACATCCTTCGAAAATTAGGCAAAGCTCAAATATTTGGGAATGAAAATAATATATAAAAATTGATTTCTTTGAGAAATTAAGAGCAGCTCATACTTGGGAAATGCTTGCAACCATTCAGTTCATAATTTTTTGTCTTCTCATCTAATTTACATTAGAGCAGAGGCAAAACCCAGACTTGTCAATCAAGCATATTTCAACATATTCTGTAGGCCTACTTTAAAATAAATATGTTGCTTTACCCATAGAGTAATAATCAGCCTAGATTACAAATTATACAGTGAGCCCCATATCTGAGAACGTAAATATCAGAGGCCTATAACAAACTTAATTTCACCTGTTCCGTATGGATGTGAAATGTGGTGTTTAATACCAACAATAAACCCAACAACTCAGCTCGACGCCGCTTTCCACACTGATTCAAGAAGGGTGTGTGGGGAGACACCTAGCGGTACTTTGATGTATTCATAAGCATTT